TTACTTATATTATTGTCAAATAGTAAAATTGATATTGTTCAATACTTTCATAAAGGTTGTTAAAAACATGCAAACATACTCATGGATTGAGTTAGATATTACATAGCTTTTTAAAATAATTATGTGCATCAGAACTATTAAACCTAAATTTGAAATTACTCAAAGCGTTTGAGACAAAAAGTTATTTGGGGGAAAGTCCACAAAAATGTATTTTGCATGATTCAGATACAACTCGATTAGTCTGGGTATAGACATAGTGCAAAACTGCGATCCTTACAAAATTACAAGTAGACCAAGCAGCTAGTAGTTACTAGCTAGCTAGTCGTATACAAGTCATAACATGCCCTACAGTCTACACTAAGGAAAAAAAATACCCATCATCATGTCGAGATGAGCGAGCATCCAATGCCTAATTGTATTTATTTCTTTCATCAATAGCGTTAAAAAAAATATACTTACAGTTTGTTAAACGAAGCGCAAAAGATTGTAGGAAAAACGCAACGATTCGATTCAACGAATGGTTTTTGCACGACAATATTCGACGAAAAATCTTCTTTTTCTTCGTCAGTTGTCACTGGATCGTTTGGATCAGAAAGACGGGGGAAATTGTCTCATAGAAACGGATGGAATACATTGATATTTATTATAGTTGTGTTTTCATTTTTATCAAAATCGTGAATGGCTTATCAACGTAATTATGAGAGGCGGTGACCTTCACACAAATATTATGGAAGAACGATGACGTTTTGATTATTCCATGATAATCAGTTCAGATACTTTTTTTTTTGGACGAGTGATGAAAAAATATAATAAACTATATTATATAAATTATATAATATAACAATACATAATATAATTCTATTATATTTTATTGATTTATTCAGGTATCCAGTCAATTACACAGATAATAGATAATATTATACACTATAGAGTACACATTTTAAAATTGAAATGTAAAACTCATGGATCCAGCTAGCGAATCACGTTTTAAGGAGTAATATTTAGGCAATTCACATGACATAAACATTTTACATTTGGACTGTCTGTGTGTGACAATGTGAGCAGTAAAATAGTAAATGAACATAAGTGTGTTTCCGAGAATCGCTGTAATGCCGGAGGACTACGCAACTCTCGCAAATGTCAATACTTAAAAAAAACTCTTGTTTGCATAAGTGCATAACTATAAAAAGTAAAAACTACTAAAAGCGGCAGTAAATTAAATAATATACTCCCTGAAGTTCGATTTTAATTTCGAAAAAATGTGATAATTTATAAGCTTCTAGACTATGTTTTTTAGAAATCCCTTTTTTGATTTAAAATCAGATGTGCCCAAAATAAATACAAATGTAATGCAATTGTTTCACGAGATTTTTAAAAAAATCTTTATTTTAAGGTCTTTTAAAATTGAAAGTTGAAACTCGACTTCCTTAAAAGCCTAGATATTTTGTTAAAGAGTTCATATATGTAAAAAAAATTAAATCAGACATTCCTAAGTATATTGTGTAATCTACCACCCCTTATTGGTCTAAAACGACCATACGAAAAATACGTATACTGCGATCCCTTTAATGATTATTAATTATCACTCTCATGGGAGGTGAAATCATTTTGTGTGACCAAGTAAAATATAAATCAGCCAGTCAATACTATTAAGGGGGAGTTTACCAATTGCGCTCTAAACATTTTAGGGTCGATAAACTAATTACGCTCTAAAAATTGTAGGGTCGATAGACCGATTGTGCTTTATACATTTTAGGGTCAATAGACCAATTGTGCTCAACACATTTTACACTAAGGAAAAGTTATTAGTTAGTTATAAATTATATTTATATAATAAATGATTACACTAACCGATTTTTTACGAGTATTAATGCATAATACATAATAATATAATATAAATTAATTAACAATTTTTTTCTTCACATTTAACAAGTTACTTTTTGATCGTCAATTATATAAAATTTATGATACTGATAACTTGTTTTCGTCTATCACTCAAATGCATACTTCCGTGATCGAATGTCGGTAATAATAATAATAATATTTCATAAAATTCCCGATACCGTTATAAAATGTAGGTATTATAGTTTATAAACAGTCACTCTAACCAGTAATCAATTGATCAATAAATATACTGTACGTTTTTAATTTTCAAGCATTTTGTGTGTTTATGTTGATGTTGATGGAATTATATCGAACAATAATTCTAAATCTGAATTCAAGCTCAATTGGTATATGGACCATAAAATATAAAGGGCGCAATTGGTACACTGACAATAAAATATAAGATGCGCAATTGGTATATTGACTCTAAAATACAAATTTTGTTTTGGCGCCAATTATTGGTCCTTGCCCCTTGAACATAAATTAATGATTTTTACTTAGTTTTTAAAATCACATATTATTAAAAAATTATTATAGACATTATATTTTAAGAATAAATGATATACTTTTATTATGTAACAATAATGATAAGTCTATAATAGTATAACCATAGACCTATTAACTAATAGGTCTATGAGTATAACATACCTAATATACAATTATAAACAAATCTCTTTTTAGTAACTTTTTATTAGCATTAATTTGAACAATAGATAAAATTAGTAGTTATAAAATATTTCAATATTTTATGAAGTTATTAGTTGCCTATATTGGTTAATTCTAATAACGATTCATACATTTAACTAAACGTCTAAACAATACACTATTCGATTATTACAATAAAACATTTAATAGATAATATGGCATCTTAGTAGTTGGTAAATTAGAAATGTATTAATAATTATTATTAAATGTTATAATTTATAATGGCAAATTTAAACTATTATATAGATACCAAAAACATTGTTAAATGTAGTAAATCTTGTATAGGTAGGTAAAAAAAACTTTATGAAATTTTTTTTGTTGAAGTTTGTTTATAATATACACTTGCTAATAATATGCTGGTACTTAAAGAAGTATTTAGGCAAAAATTTGTGAGCATTATTTTATCTGCTGAATCCATCGATATTGTATATATCCTAGCTGGAAATAGAATGTACAAATTATGGTTAAATAAATAAAATAAAATAGCAAATTACTAGGCTAGAACTAAGAACAGTAATATGCACTTGGAAATTTGATTGTAAAAAATAGTTAAATATTTACTGTAGTATAATTTGAAGTTCTGTACTTAGGTACCTACCTATATTGTTTAGATAAAGAAAAAATGTTGTAAGCCAAGGTTTGAAAGAACTTAGTTTTAAAAACATTAGGAGTAAGCCATTAGGAATTGTACATACAATTATTAAATCTCTAATTTGTCTTGTCATTAATAATAATGATTTTACCATAGAACAATAGTGTTCTATGATTTTTCCCTTAGATGCTAGTCAATTTGTTTTAAAATTGATCAAAAATAATATTATATAAGTTGTAAATGAAAACTTACCTCCATTTGTATATGCAGAAATAAACCAAGTAGTTAGGCTTATACTATCAGCGTTTTTAAATTTCATTATAGTGTACAACTGTAAACATTTACTTGATAATGATATCGGTGTACCAAATGGCTAAAATAATACAAATTAATTATATTCAATAATTTTGAACATAATATTATGCAACAATTTAAATGCTGAAAAATTAACATACTACTAAAATAGTAAGTATAGAGGAAGGCAAAAGTTTGCAAACAAACGCGTAGAATAATCCAATGTACAGTACACTTAAAATCAAAACCTTGAGATTTAAGCGATTATTGTAATATAGAACAATACCGATGAGAAGATACTGCTGAAAAAGTATTATTGGATATTCCATGTATGCCATTAGTGAATAATTGTTTGTATAATTGTAACAAGTTGTTGTACTTAAACTGAAAAATGGGTAACACACAACACAATTACAAATAATAATTTATTATTTATCTGAGACCAGAAATGCATATGCTATAAATGTCAAATTATCAATATAACTGTAAAAGCATGCAATAATAATCTTAAAATAACTAACAAATTTAATAATCTGAAAGCTTTTTCCAAGCGTATCAAATCTTATCAAAAAATAAGATGTTTAACAGAACCATAAGGTATGATTTACCAATTTGAAATTAATGAGTGATGGAAAATGCTCCAAAACACAAATATTATATTGTATTTCAGTTTTTTATAATTGTGATTCAATCTAATCAGCTATTTTTTTTTTCATTTTTGGACCATTGAATATAAACATGCAAATGTATAGACTTTTTGGTATTTGATTTATCTAGGTAACTAAAATAATAAAACTTTTAGTGCAGGCAGATTAAATATTCAATTATTATATATATAGCCAACTATAGTTTTATTAATTTTTACAAAAAACTAACTACTTTATAAAAATAACTGAAATTATTACCCAGCATACAGTTTCAGAATGAATAGTATTATCAAATTCTTACTTGTTTTTACTTTTTAGTTATCAATTTTAATTTATAAAGCTTATACATTTACACATTTATATTTATAGATCATACAGTCCAAATATTAATACATATGTGTTTGTATAATTTTACTTGATTAAATCCAGAAGTAAAGAAGTTAAATTGATACCGCCTGTTTGCTTTTGATTGTAAATCCGAATAATTTGTGGAGCCTTCATGATAACACTCAAAAGAATCGTAGTAATGCTTAATAGGTAAGAAATCATTGTATAGAGATGTTTTACTTGATACTCAATACCATGTATATATATATACATACAATATTATTATATATATATTTGGTTTTGATACAATTCCTATCTGAAAATAAAATAACTCAAAATGAATAATTATAATAATACAAATTGACTCCATAGTATAATATTTTGTGTAATAAAGCTAAAATACCCTATGAAACAGCTGACAGGGTTTCAAGATACATTAAATAATTTTCAACAAATTTCCTAATATAATAGTTTTAAATATTTTATTTTAGGAATTTTACCCTTGAATGAAAATAATTAAAATTCGTCAAATTACAATATGTGTTAACAATTTAAGTTCGAGTTTTGTTCTCTGATTGATTGCGATCTTTCTTCATGGAACGGAGAGAAGAGTTATTCCTGGAAGTAGTTGATCGACCTTTTCGCTTTCTACTCCACAGTTCATGACAATCTTGCCAAGTAGGTAATGAAATGCAGGTATTGGTGTCTATGCTCGCCAACCAAGAACATGTTAACGCATTCTCGGCAGTGATGCGTTTACTGGGATCCAGAGTTAACATTTTGTCTAACAGATCAAAAGCATCATTTCCAATGAAGTCATATTGATCATTAAGTTTTCGATTGTGCAGTTTTTTTTGACTTATAAACTTCCAGTATGGCAGTTTTATGACTTCCGGCCAGTTAGCTGGACAAGGACTACCGCAGAGCTGAGATATTAACTCAAGTTGATCAAACTCATCTTTGCCATGAAACATATTTTTTTTGATGAAAAGTTCTCCTGTAATGGTAAATCAAAGTTTTAATAACTATTATTTGGTACATTAAATGTGTAACTTACCTAAGATACATCCACAAGACCAGATATCAACTGATGGGCCATATCTCTCTTCTCCTAACAAAAGTTCGGGTGGTCTGTACCGTAAGGTAACTACTTTGTTTGTGTACAAACGAACTTGCTCATTGTCGAATAACCTTGCAAGACCTAAATCAGCTAGTTTCAATTCACCTTTATTATTGAGCAGTATATTACTGCACTTAATATCTCTGTGAATGAAATTTTGCTTGTGACAATAATTTAAACCCTCGAGCAATTGACGCATAATAATGGCATTATCTCTCACTGAAAAATCTACCATTCCTGATTCTATTAGGCCAGTAAGATCATGATCCATGTACTCGAACACAAGATAAAAAGAGCCACCACCTTTTTTGAATTCGTACGAATCTTCCTTATCAGTAACAACTTCTTTTAAACTAACTACATTTGGATGGTTTAGCTGTCTTAAAATTTTGATTTCTCTTATTGCAGTTATTGGAAAGCCTTCAGATTCATGTTCTAATCTCACTTTTTTTAGTGCCACAAAATTATTAGTTTTTTTTTCTTTGGCTTTATAAACTTGGCCATATGAACCTTCACCGATTTGTGAAATTATTTCATATAGATCCACATTACGTAGACCGGTTCTAGTCACATTGACATCAATGAATGATTTTGAAGTGTTTAAAACGACAGGTCTTTTTGAAATAGGACTTTTTGCTCGTTGTCTAAATGTATGAATTAAATCAGTTAAAATAATATTCTTTGGAAGACAGTGGGACAAGAATGAATCGTGATTTTCAACTCGTGCAGTGTTTTCTAAGCCTCTTGGGTGTCTGATTAATGGTGAATCGCCTGGCAATGGTATATTTTCGATACCATTTTGCGTTTCCATCTGTTTTGAAAAATATATTAGCAATCTGACTTGTTGTTCTATTTGTTAAGGTTTGGCAAAGTAATAATGTCAAGGAACTTTTAAGATTGACGATATTGTGTCGTAGATGATATAGAATGTCTTCCATCGACTTAGTAGTAGACAAGAGCCGTTGATTGACTAGAGAATACTTTAATGTAGACAGTTCTACTTTTTGTACAGTAACAAATTCCGATGGCATATCAAATAATTAACATTCATTTGGTATGTGGAATCCTGCAAACATTTTTCACAATATTTTGTTTTTGAATGTAAAAAAAAAAAATTACCTAATACAAATTCAAAATTGCATAAAGTTGAATACATAAATAGTTGGCAAAGACTTGGCACAGGAAATAACAAAAATTAGATGAAAATAATAATTCAAAGAAATGGATACAACTAGATCATTGTAATTTGTAAATGTATGTTTTACAGGTAATGTACTTATTTTACTTATACCAGTTTTAAATTTTGAATAATATTATCAAAAACTGTACCTAAGTATGTACCACAGTGAAATAGCACATCATTTTGAAACTAACTTATTTTTTAAGACTAGTAATTTGACAAACTTAATATTTTCATTCATTTTTCTAACATATATTATCAATTATCATATTTTGATTAAATTTGGGTACCTATTAAAATCCAACTTTCCAAGAAGTGTGTATTTTTTATTACAAAATTATTAATAGGTATTTCACAGTTATACAAATATCCTGGTTAAAAGTTTTTGAAATGGGTGAATTGGAATTTTATAGATATTAGATGAACGGACATATTATGTTCGCAATATTTGCGAAGTGCAAAAAATTACATATCACTATCTAAGCATACCTACCAATTGCAAATAGTTTAACAGGGCTGCCCTCAATTAGTACAAATTGTACTGGTGTCCATAAAATATCAAAATGAACACTGAAGAAATTCTGAAAATCAAATTGAAAAAAAATCAACCAAAATATAAGAAACATAATGTAAGACTATCTAGTACACAATAAGACAAATATTTGCTTTAGTCAATTGATAGACAGATGTCGAGGGGAAATGTATTTGTTGAATACCTCAGTCAGTTACCAATTAATTAATTGCAACGTAAGTGTGCTTTCGAAGAGAAAAGTCTTAAAAACTATGGGTAATCATTAATAAACTACTATGATTTTACTTACTCAGTAATAACGAGATAACAAAAATCAGCGATATACGACCACGACGACTAGACGGTTCTGAACACCACTGGTATGCAGCACAGCAGAATCGTGGCGAAAGATTTAACTCTCTCAATCGTTGACCAGAGGATGTATATATTATATATAATATAAATAATATTGTTATAGAGGACAAAAGTTTAAAGTTGTGATGAAAAAATGTACAATAAAAGTTTGAAACAGAAAAATTGTGTGTACAAAAAAAGAAAAAAAAGTGATTGGGAAAATTTCGAAAATGATAACAGAGTAGTGAGTACACAGTAGTTAGTACACACCGTACGGTATCAGTCGTATTCACTCATAGTGTGCTTACGGTTTCACCTGGCCAGGGGGGACTATAACGTAAAAATATATATTAGTTATGCCTTTGTAGTGGGGATGTGGAAGTCACGGGCCATCATGAATTATTATCGGGAATTCAGGAACCATTTTTATTTTACGTTAAGCGGGAGGACATTTCTACCGGGCTCTAAGCTTTCGACTTCGATATGACATAGCTCGTTTTTATCGTTAATTTTTTTTCATATGACGTCCCATTTCAGTGGTACGCTACGGTATACCCTATTAATTGCAGACGATTCATCGTGACCATAGATATTAAAAAAAAATGTACTGATTTTTCTATTTGAATAATGGCGAAAGAATAGTGAACAGATGAAATACTAATCGGTATTGTTATGACTACTGTGATCGTAACTGAGTGAGCATCCTCATAATTCATAGATTGGTATATGAGTAAGTAAGTGGTGGTATAGCTCGTGAGTAAGTAAAAGTAAGGTGGAACTTGTAACTTGTAAGCAGAGTAATTTTTTACTCTATGCTTGTAAGTTGTAACTATACTGCCATGTGCGATGTGCCAATTACATGCGCCATGCGGTCCGAGTCCCACAAGAGAGTACTACAGTTTTGCCGCGCATGCAGACTACAGGCATTTCCCCACTTTGAGTATGTCAAATACGTGGCGATGCGCGGAATCGAACATGTTTTCGTCGGGCGACAGTACTCTCTCATACTACTCCTCCCTCGTGGGCCGCAGTATACTCAAGAAGCAGACAATTGCAATTTTATTTTAGTAAGATTTTTGCACCCATTACTGGTCACACTGCTGCGGTAGGACTGTGACCACCATAGAACAATAATAATAACAGTCGTGAACGTGATTGCATAATATTCTTAATTAGGTATTTTAGTTATGTCTATGAATGGAACCCTGCTAATTGTCTGCGCGGGAGATGAATAAATTAATATATAATACTTATTCAGCTATTCATACATGCAATTATGCAAAATGTATAATAGTTCATACCAGTCACTAGACATATTACATACCATGCACCAGAGGGCAGAGAGCCTTTATATATAATCTAGGCTCTCTACCATGAACTATTAATGTATTATGTCGTATTCACGATGTAGAGAAGATCATAATATTATATTCTCAATATATCTTGAATGTACTATATAAAAAAAAGTTCATCTTAATTATTATACGTCCATGATTATTGTCAACATAAAACAATCATATAAAAGCTAAATACATAGTCGTGGAATATACCTTACACTGGAGAGCCTTAATAGTTAATAATATTAACCTTTACACTGTTTAACTAGGTAGGTATTAGGTATATAATATGTAATATATATGATATTTTAGTGCAAGTAAAGCGGGAAGTGGATGTCGCTCTGTTGTACAGTAGGTTACAAGTAATTCACTTTAATGGATGGTGTTAAATTTGAATTCAATGATAACGTTATTGTAATATTGTATACAAAAAATATTCTGAGCGAAGACGGTCCGTCAGCCTATGCCCTATAACATTACTATAAGTATATATCTGACGATATTATTGTAACTTATTTTACTATTAAGCATTAGTACAACAGTAGGTCAAATTAATTTTAGCCCTAAAACTATTAAAAATGGCTTTGGGACCCTTGGACTTTTCTGGAAATCCATTTCTATAAAATATTGAATACTACCTATCTCTGCTTATTTGCTATACCCACTTTTAATTTTTCTGCAACAATCAATTACTTTTTCATGATTTGACACAATATTTATTATTTTTTTATTTATTGTACTTTATGGGGTCCATGCAATTTTTTTTCTGTTGTTAAATTTGTATTCTTTTATGTTTTTTTCGGTTATATTGAAGGTCATAATCAAGGCCTTTGTGTATAATCTTTTATTTTGGTGAGTCATTTTAGTAATACATTGAATTATAGTAAGGTATTATAATTAACGTGGGTGAAAGGCTACAGTAGTACTGTAATAGAAAACAGAACTTAAAATTATTTTTAAAATATAAAAGGTGGGCAAGTGGGTGTCGCTCTGCTGTACGGTAGATTACAAATGGGTCACTGTAATGGATAGTGTTAAATTTGAATTCAATGATATAACATCATAGTATAAGAAAAACGGTCCGTCAGCCTACGATATTACTTAGTATATTTGATGATATTATTGTGAATAAAGTAATTTATATTTACCTGGAAACTTGTTTTAAATTTTCAATCCTTAGCTATAAAAGTTGAACATTTTATAAATTTTTAACTACAAAATAATTATTAAATTTTTAATTTGATAAATTTCGTCAAAATTCGAACTGTAAATGCTTATAAAGACAAATTGTGACAATGTATTTTTAGTATTTTTCAACTGTTATTGTACCTAACAGTATATCAGGAACCTTAATTAAATTTTCAAGCTTTTTTACCCTACAAATAAAATTTTATTGATATTTATAGAAAAAAAAACTAAAAAAATTGATAACTGACAATGTCCGTAAACAGCTCAAAAAGAGTCAAATATTTCAAATATTATGGTGTATTGAAAATGCTAATATAAATATCCAGTGAAATTTTCATGTATCTACAGTTATTCGTTTTTGAATTACAACAAAATAAGGAAATCGCTACATGAGAAATCGAGTGAATATCCAATGTTGTAAAAATTTGAATTCCAAACGCTCATAAATATTTAATTTGACTTTCTTCTTGAAATTTTTTTTTTGATAAAGGTAGATAATCTTATATGTAATCTTGTATTACATTTTCAAATCTGAGATTTAATAAGAAAAATTTTTACGAATTCTTAACTCAAAATAATTTGCTAATTTTCGTGATTTTTCCATATTTTGTCAATTTTTGAACTTTAAATGCTTATAAAAAAAAACTGTGACTAAGGAATTTTAATATTTTTCATCTGCCTTTGAAAAAATATACTAGGAGCCTTGTATTAAATTTTCAAGCTTTTTTAACCAACAAATAAAATTTTATTGATATTTTTAGAAAAAAAAAGGTGGGCAAGTGGGTGTCGCTCTGCTGTACAGTAGGTTACAAGTGGGTCACTGTATAATGGATGATATTAAATTTGAATTCAACGATATAATATCATTGTATAAGAAAAACGATTCTGAACGGAGACGGTATGTCAGTCTAGGTATAAGACATATTATATACATATCTATGGTACTAAACCAAAATTGACCTATAATAAATTTCAAATTAATAATATCACAATATCCATTAGGTACTTATAACGCGTTATACATCAATAAAAACCGTGATACTATCATAGATATACCTATAATAGTAGACTTTAGAAGTTTCAAGTATACCCACGAATAATATTATTCAATCACAACAAAATAACTAAAATAGTTATTCTAGGTTTTTAATATGTAATTTCGTCCAAATTTGAATTTAAAATGTCTGTAAAAAATAACTGTGTTCATATATTTTTTAGATTTTTTGGTTACAGTATGAACT